TTTTAAAATATAAAAAATCTAAAATATAATTAGAATAATTATCGAGTTACAACAAAATAAATAATTATTATCTTTATAAAAAAATTATATTATTAAACCAATAAATTACTTCGTTATTGTACATAAATTAAATTATAAAAAAAATTGAATTAAAAAATTACACAAAAAAATGAGAAATTTCAAATAATTAATTTGATACTAATATCGATATATTTTTGTCAAATTTTTATGATATCTTYAAACATATATTTTATTCAAAAATAAAAACATCATCATTTTCTCAAAATCACATAAAGCCATATTATAACATCGACTGAGATAAATAATAAAATGAAATACTAAAATTACGATTTTTTTAGTTGCACTACACGAATACGCTTCTGATATAATATAAATTAATCAGTTAAAATACGTACAAACTGGTTTCAACATTTTAAGACTCTAATGGGATGAGTTGTAAAGTAGTGGGATTTTTCAATAATTTGGGACCCTCCCAATAAATGACCCTGTTCCTATAATCCTATCCCATCATCCATATCCCCAACCCATTCTTATAAATCTATCTTATGGATTTTAATATAATGGTTAATATATATTTTTTTATATTGTATTTGTTTTACATGTACTCGATTCATAATATGAACCTTTTAACATGTTTATGATACAAAAAATATATGTAAAAAGTTTTTGATTATGAATCAAATACATATGAAATGAACACATTATGAAACAAATATATGTTGATTATTACATTAATTATAACTAGAAGAGTACTCGTGCAATGCAGCGAGATACATCTCGATTTTAATGTTCTATTTTATTATTTGTCTCTGTCGATGTTATAATACGATTTTATGTGTTTTTAAGAAAAAAATAATGATTTTATTTTTAAACAAAATATAAATTTGAAGATATCATAAAAATTTGAAAAAAAAATATATCAATATAAATATCAAATCAATTATTTAAATTTTTTCATTTTTTATGTAATTTCTTTAATTTTTTTAATTATAATTAAATTTAAGTTTGATAATGAAATAATTTATTTTTGGTTTAATAATATAACATTTTATAAAGATAATAATTTAATATTCTGTTAGAACTCAATGATTATCTTAATTATATTTTAGATTTTTTATATTTAAAATAAAATGTTTATCTTGTATTTGATTATGTTTATCCGCAGTTAGTTACACGAATTCAGATATGGAGCTTTAATAAGTTGTACTTAAGCACAAATTTATTTGTAATCTTGAATTTTAAGTAATATGCATTAATAAACAATACTTTACGCATAAAAAATGGGTTTTAAGAGTTTTTGTCAAATATTTTATAATATAGTATAGATATATTAATTTAGTTTAATAGCAATCATTATTGAATGAGTAATTTTAACACCGATTGTTTTTCTTAAACGAAAGTTAATTTTTTTTTAATTATTTTGCTTATAAAAAACTATTTTAATTACAAAATGAAATTATAAAAAAATAGTTTGAAGTGTACACGTAATTGAATTGCGATCAAATTTTAATCGGAAACGCAAATCGAGTTCCCAAAATCTTGATGTAAACCTTCTAACAGAACACGATTGTATGTGATTTTTTTGGGACAAAATCACATGATTTAATTTTTATTTATTTATTTTATTTTTGCAAATAGATAATTGATATTGTCTTATAAATAAAGGTTAGTTTTAATAGATTAAAACAAATTAAAAATATAATTATATTAATATAATTTTAATAATCATGTCAATACAATTATAGTAAAATAATATCGATTATTTTTAATTTGTTTTAATCTTATAAATAAAATAAAATTAATATTTTTTTAATAAAATAATAATCATAAAAGTTATCTTTAATTTATTTTAATATTATAAATATGTATTTTAATTTATACATTAATTAATTACAATGAAGTAGAAACTATAGGGACGAAAATCACAATGAAGTAGAAACTATAGGGACGAAAATCACAATCTTTTTCAAATTACAAGGACGAAAATCGTAGTTTATTCTAAAATCTCTAGCTAAATTAAGGGTAAAAGTGTTTTTTGCTAATTAAAAAGCCTAATCATCACATATTTTTAGAACTTTGTGCCTTTTTGATTAGTAGACATTATTTTGGGACGAACAGAGTACTCTATTTCATTTTCAAATAATCAAAAATATTCAATTAATCAGTTGGATTGAACCTCAGTGGCCACAAGGGAATTTTTATTACTCCTTGGATTTGAATATGTGATCTCCAAGCACTTTTGATCTTTGAAGTCCAAGCTCAAACCAATCAGGCACAACCCTTATGGTTAAATTGAACATATTTGAGTAGCAATCGCTTATATGATTGCTCTTGGTGTTTCTTGTTGGATCAGGTTTGTTATGAAATGTGATTTATTAATTTTTTATAAAACATATTTATAACGTGTCAATTTAAACATGTATAAAAAAAAATAACGATGTTATGTTGCTCCTCTGCATGACATAAGTGAATGAAATGAATTCTATTTCATGACAAGTGTGACATGTTTTATAAATCGGTTTTAAAAATAACATTTACATCCAATTTAACCAACACCATTATCCCACCTTCACCACCTCCATCATCGTGGCTGCCACCCCCATTCTCAACCAACCTTCATTGTGCCACTGCCATTGTCGTTGCCACAACCCACCACCCACAGTCACCGCCACGTCACTAATGTTCGTTGCCACAACCCACAACCCACCACCCACAGTCACCGCCACATCACTAATGTTCGTTGCCACATCCCACCACCCACAGTCACCACCACATCACTAATGTTCGTTGCCACTGCCGCCACCCACCCCGACCCCAACACCACCACACCACTACTCCTGTTGACACAGCCGCCACCCCCACCTCCAACACATGCATATTGCAATTCTTTTACAAGATTCCAGTACAATTCTTGACAACCAAACACATGACCAAATTCTATTCAAATTTCTTCAAAACCATATTTCTTTGATGGATTTCAATTCCACCACATTTTATTTTACGAACCAAACATTCCCTTAGAACTTCCTCAAGAGCCACAATAAAATAAAGGTTTTGAAGATTATTTTGCTACAAAAGTTACTCTACAATGATCTCTAAAATAGAAAAAACTCTATATCACTTCATAAATTAAGATAAATATATTACTCCATATTTTCAATAATTTAATATATATATATATATATATATATTGGAATAATGGATTTATATACTGAAATAATTTAATATATATATATATATATATACACACATTGGAATAATGAATTTATAAATTATTTTAATAATATTATTGAAATTAAATTTATTAAAATAAAAAGGTTTCTTAAAATTAAATCTAGAGTGTAATTTTTAAATAATTTAACTCTTATTTTTTTTTATAAAAGAATTATAAATTCTTACAATACAACCAAAACCAGATATTCCTTTAGTACTAATAAGAAATTCGTTTACAAAAAACACGGTACTATTTTGTTTTTATTTAAATGTTCCTTTCATCAACAATTACTTCTTTTTCCTATTTGATATTTATAGAAAAAGAATAATATTAAAATACTATTATAATCGATCATAATAATTATTTCTTATTACTTTAAAATGATGTTTTAATAATTTAAGAACTTCATACATTATTATTATCATCGTAAACCTATGATTTATAATACATAACTTTTCAATTGTATTTTTTATCATATAAATACAGAAAAATATTTGCATTATAAAATACTAGAAAAGTGTTCGCGCAATGCAACGAAATATATCTTTAATGCTTTATTTTATTTTATTTTTTTGGTCTATGTCGGTATTATAATATAGATTTATGTCGTTTTGAGCAAGTATTAATGATTTTTTTGAATATAAATTTGAATATATCATAAAATTTTAAAAATTCTCATTTTTTGTATAATTTTTTAATTTAATTTTTATTATTATAACTTAATTCAGGTTTAATGACGAAGTAATTTGTTTTTGGCTTAATAATATAATTTTTACAAAGATAATAACTAAGTATTATGTCAAACTCAATAATTATCTTAATTATATTTTAGATATATTTAAAATGAGAATTTTATCTTGTATTTGATTATAGTTATCTACGATTAGTTACGTGAATTCAAATATAGAGCTTAACAAGTGTACTTATGCACAATTTACTTATAATATTGAATTTTAAGTAATATACATCAATAAATAATATCTTATACCTAAAATATGGTTTTTATGAGTTTTTGTTAAATATTTTATAATTTAAAAATAAATAAATGTGAAATAAATACATTTTAAAATAATATATATTAATAAAATTATAGATTAAAAAAACACATAAAGGGTGACTTTCATAATTTTATGGAAGGTTTACATCTCTTTTTGTTTTTGTCAGTGCCACTGTATATATTTTGCGCGCTTATCCCTGAAAACAAACAAACCGCCTTCCTTGATTTCCGTAATCTTCCTCCTCTCTCGATATTCTCTCTCATCTTCTTCTATCTCCATTTCCATTTTCATCGCCATCTCCATCTCTCTGTGTGTGTGTGTGTGATGGAGGGTTCATCCATTTTAGTGACTGGAGGTGCTGGATTCATAGGCACCCACACTGTTGTGCAACTTCTTAATCAAGGATTCAAGGTTACCATCATCGATAACCTTGATAATTCTGTCGAAGAAGCTGTTGATAGGGTCAGAGATTTAGTCGGTCCTCAACTCTCACTCAATCTTCAATTTCATTTGGTAATTTCCTTCACTCACTCATTTCATTTTAATTTTCGATTCATTCTGTGTAATCTTCACGAAAAATGAAATCTACTTTAAACCTTGAGATGTTCTGTTTACGTACAATTATTGGATTATCTGTTAGAATTTTAGAAATTCTGTAAATTAAACTGAATGAAGAGCTACCTGAATCTGTGATTTGGAAATTCCAAGTGATAATTTGCGTGATTTACTGTATGATCGCGAGTTTAGGACCTTACATTTAACTGTATTTGATTTTTTGTGTTTTATTGGTAATTGGAACGGGTCAGTAGGGTTTACCCTAAAAGCTGCAACTACTTCTATTCAAAAATTGCGTATATGTCTGAATTCTTTTGTTATTTAAGTGGTTTAATTAGTAGTATGAAAACAGCTCATATGAACATTTTTAGTGTATACAAGGTTGTTATTAAATACTAATCTAATTAGAAAAAATAAGTATGTATATTCAATTACGTGTTAAATTAAAATACGTTTGTGATGATTAAACGAGGATGAATGGAGATTCAGATGAGAAGAGGGTCAAGAGAACACAAAGAACAACCAAATTACATGTGATTATACATGAAAATCACGAATGATTATGCAACACTGTCAACACGAGGGTGTGCCGGCGACTTAGACCCATGATCTAGGTCGCGGCTGTATTGACGTGATTTCAGTATATATTCTCATGTGAATTGGCCATTCTTGAGTTCCCTTATTTTGAAATTGTTCTAGTTTGAACCCAACTCAATGAAAATAACCTAGACGAGTCATAGCCCAATATGTATTTATCCCTAAGTTCAAGACGTTGTTCATCAAATTCACATAAAATTTGTTTTTATGTGCTGAATTACCATGATGAATCAACACATCACGTCTTTGGACAAAGTTTAGTATGTCATCCTCCGGAAGCAAAGAAAAATAGTACTCAAATCGACTCTGGGGTTTAGATTTTGTTTGTGTGATTCATGGTATAATACTGAGTTAGATTTCGATTATGTTTCTATTTGTTGAGTTTATGGGTAACCAAATATAGGAATTTGAATTAGATTTGGTGTTAACTGTTGGTTACAGGGTGATATCAGAAATAAGCAAGATTTGGAGAAGTTGTTTTCGGGTGCCAAGTATGTCGTTTTTCTGCTAGTATTACGTTTTTACGCACCTTCATCTTCAATTTTCACACAAAAATGGTTGTTTTACATCATTGAGTTACTATTGACTCTCATTTGGATCTTTGAATGGTAATTTATCAAAATGCTTGGCTTGACTAATGGTATGTAGGTTTGATGCTGTCATACACTTTGCGGGACTCAAAGCTGTGGGTGAAAGCGTACTCCATCCATTCCGTTATTTTGATAATAATTTGATTGGATCGATCACCCTTTACCAAGTTATGGCTGAATACAATTGTAAGAAGGTCCGTCTTGAATCTATGCTTGATTTCAATTACTTATCATGTAGTCTATCAATGATATTGAGTTCATGATTCACAAAATTATTATAATCCCGATCTTGATTTTGTCATTGCTTGTTGGGGTTGCAGTTGGTTTTTTCGTCTTCTGCAACTGTTTATGGACAGCCCAAGGAAATTCCGTGTAATGAGGACTTCGAATTGAAGGCAATGAATCCATATGGACGGACAAAGGTATTACCCGTGAAGATGACTTATTTTGTTTACGTGATTGGAGTTGTTTTGTAATGTTATAAATTGAATCTGTTGGGATTAAGTGTATCTCACGACCCAATAATCTCACAAAGTGAGTCCTAATCTAACAACCATTATGGAACAAACTAGACCTTATCTTGGCGTGTTGAAGAAATCAAATACACGAAAACAAAATATAAGCATAAACAAAAGAGACAACCTTGAATTTACGTGGTTCCACTATCAATGTGATAGTGTACTCCACTCAAAGGGAGGAGTGTTAGACGAAATAGAGAGTACAAAGGATGTTACCCGACTTACAAATATCGAACCTCTTTATTGGATGAACAAAGTGTTGTGCTCTCAGCCTCTCACTACTCAAAGATGCTCACAAGAGTGTATTTCCAAGACCGTTCTTTAGCATGTTAAATGTGTGATTTTGAATTTTGGGGCCCAGTTTTACATTGTTTAGGGCCTTTCATCGATGAATGTAAAACTATAGTCCATTTTTAGTGCCTCTCTAATTTCTATCAGAAGATAAAAGTAATTTGCCTCATCATCGCTTCTGTAATTTATCAAAAGCTTTAGGTGTAATAGGGTCTTTAAAAACATTGGAATGTCCCTATGTATTTATAACGTGTTGGGGATTCCTGAATGGTTAAGGGTGATAGGTATTTATAGGCACAAGGATGACCTCCCATTTTTCTAAGGAATCTCATAGAAGGTACTACCTATCTCCCACAAGATTTCTCTAGAAAATATCTACTCCTAAAAGATTTCTCTAGAAATTATCTCCTCCCCAAAGAGTTCTCTAGAAAATATACTTCAAGTTTCGCATCACATTTTAACAGAATCTTTTTGGTGAATCGTATAGCTGTTTCTTGAAGAAATAGCTCGAGACATTCATAGTGCCGATCCCGAATGGAAAGTTATTTTGCTGAGATACTTCAACCCTGTTGGAGCTCATGAAAGTGGGGAACTTGGTGAAGATCCAAAAGGGATACCAAATAATCTGATGCCTTATATACAACAAGTAGCTGTTGGAAGATTACCAGAGTTGAATGTATATGGTCATGACTATCCTACAAAAGATGGCACTGCGGTATGTATCAATATATTCTTCTACTTTCATTTTGCAACAACTCGTTCCATATGAATAGAAAAGTAAATTGTTGAGCTCAAAGTTGTGGGCTACCAACAATCTCTACCATTGTTAAGTTGAATCCAAAGTTATTGGGCCAGTTTAGGCTACATTCATTACAGGAAAGCTTATACAATCAATTATCTATGCGAAATACATACGATTGCTAACAGGTGCGGGACTACATCCATGTAATGGATTTGGCCGATGGTCATGTTGCAGCACTGAAAAAGCTTTACAAGCAACAAGATATAGGTCAGCTAAACGGTTATTAAGTGGTATCATTTATCGTCTTAACCTCTTTTGATGACGTGTATATGTGTGTGTGTGTGTATGATGTTTAGGTTGTTCTGTCTACAATTTGGGGACGGGTCGAGGGACGTCTGTGCTTGAAATGGTTACTGCCTTTGAGAAAGCATCCGGAAAGGTCCAATTCTTCCTGCAGCTTAACTTAACTAACCATTGACATAACCTTGTAGATTATGATGGAGTTCATAATAAATAAATATATTTACAGAAAATCCCGATAAAACTATGCTCAAGAAGGCCAGGAGATGCAACAGAAGTCTATGCGTCGACTGATAAAGCTGCAAGAGAACTCAATTGGAAGTAGGTGACAATTATTTTTACTAAGTTGTTTATTTAGGGGCTATCTACTAAACTAAACACTTACCGATCATTTACCTTACTGGATGAACATGACATCGGCCGATAATTTTACTCGGTAAGAGTGATAATAAGGACGTAGAATCTTACCGGGTAAATTGTTTGTACAATACCATTTGGACGTGTACTACAATCTTACCTGGTAAAGTAAGTTAGAATATTTTGACTTTTACTAATAAACACTTGTCGGGTAAGTGTTTGGGTAAACGGCCCCTTAGTCTATGTTTGACGACCATAAACTAGTTTATTTTTTGAAGTTATTGAAAAGTGAAACAACTTGCAAAACATAGCTATCAGCTAACTAGTTAATTTGTCAAAACTGCAATAGAGGTAGTGAAAAAATGCATTAACGAATAATAATTTTCAGGGCAAAATATGGGATCGAGGAGATGTGCAGAGATCAATGGAATTGGGCAAGACAGAACCCGTGGGGATATCAGAAGAAGAAATAAGAAACAAAGGCGTACGTAGTGTGTTTCTTTGGTTGTGAATTCTTGGCTCCCAAATAATAATAATAATATCATCTTCCATAGTTTAAGCTCCTCCTCTCGGCAATTGCAATGTTGGGGTTTTTGGTAAATTAGTTTTGTAAGGGTTTTTTTTTCTAAAGTCGTTGGTGTCTGGACCAGCACCTCCGACTAATTTCAAGAACCTTGAAATACAGACCGGAAAATCTCTCATAGACTTGTGGGACTCAAACCGATAACCTGGAGGATTCCCCCACTTGAACTAACTTAACTAATCAAGGTTAGTTTTGTTGATGTTTAATAGTGTGCATGAGGATTAACATGGTATCGAAGTCAGCCTTGGGTTGCAATGACCGTTACGACGCATAATTTAAAACAATACTGGAATGATACAAGAGTGGACCGAACCTATGAAGGCGTCAGTAGATCTTGTGCATATGTTTAACCAAATTCTGCAAGTACTTATCTTAGGTATGAAATGTGCCCATACTAAACTTTGAAAGGTGCTATGAAATATCATATATTACAACCAAAAATGGAAAAAAAAACCATCAAATCAACCAAAAGAGTCACTTGAAATTAAGTAGGAAAACTGAAAAAGTTATTTGAAATCAACCAGAAACTTTAAAAAATCTCTCAAAATATTTGAATTTAGTTAAAAATACATCGGACAATTTTACAGGTATTAGATTTTACCGCATGAATGAGATATAATCGATAAGTTTGGCTTGAAAATTGGATATTATTAGAAAGTCGGTGTTATTTTGGAAATTGGTATTATTAGAAAGTTGATATGAATTGGTGTAAATATTTGAGATTAAAAAGTAAAGCATCCACCCTTTTCTCCTGAAAAAATTACCACCCTCCCAATAAACATTAACCATCGGTAAAGGTAAATCACCTCCGACGACCACCGTCAATGTCCGCCGAACAGCAAGTATCATGGTCGGATTCTTTCTCCCAAGCCCAAACCGCCATCCAATCTCTCGCCACTATCCTCCCCGCCGTCCCTTCGTCGGTCTCCGCCTCCAATACCCCCGCCCTTGCTCTCCTCACCGACCCCGATCTCGCCGCCCAAATCTCCAACCACCTCCGTCAACCAGACTCCGGTGCCGGCGACAACCAACTCTGTCGTTGGCTCTACGACACCTTCCACACCTCCAAAATCGACCTCCAACTCGTCGTCCTCCGCTTCCTTCCCATCATCGCTGGCGTCTATCTCTTGCGGATCCCTCACCGGAAACCGCTCGCCGGCTTCGAAGCCGTCTTGTTAGCCATTTACGCTCACGAAACGACGTCGCGTAACGGCCAAGCAACCACCGTCAACATTCCAGATCTATCTCACCCCAGCGTCTACCATGAAAGCAAACATCCATACAAAAGCAATTCAACGGAGCTTAATCTTGTCGTCGTTTCTCCGGGTTTGGAGCCCCAAGGAACGATCCGATCCACCAAACGAGCCCGAATCATCGGAGTCGCACTCGAATTATATCATTCCAAAATTCTCGATATGCCTGTTCAATCGAAGCTCGATTTGTGTGAATTTTGCATAATTTGGGCAGGTCAAGATGGGGATTTCTACAAGGATTTCCCAAACATTGATCAAATTGAAGACGATGATAAAAAGGGGAAAGAAGGTGAAATGAGCAAAGAAAAGAAAGAAGGGAGGGTTCTTCTGCCATGGGAGATGCTGCAACCAATTTTGAGAATTTTAGGGCATTGTTTAATGGGTATCAACAAGAACAACAAGAAGAATATCGAGTTATATGAAGCTGCTTGTCGTGCATCCAGAAGTTTGTACGCGAGGGCATTACACGATATCAATCCGAAAGCGATTTTGGCCATAGGAAGTCTCCTTAAACTTATCAAATTTAGTTCAATTTGTGTTGATCATACTGAATTACCTGTTACTAATGTCATCAATCTATAATGCATAGATATACATATTATGTCTCTATAGTTTCCCATGATGATGATCTTGATAGCTCTCTTTACTGTAGTAATAAAAAGGGTGTTCAAGAACCCAAGAAAATAATCAAGATTTGCACCCAATTTGATTATTTTTCTGTTTTGTAGTTATATATCCAAATTTTGTATGTATATATATATGCATACGTATTATGTCTCTATAATTTCCCATGATGATGATCTTGATAGCTCTCTTTACTGTATTAATAAAAAGGGTGTGCAAGAACTCAAGAAAATAATCAAGATTTGCACCCAATTTGCTTATTTTTCTGTTTTGTAATCATATATCCAAAATTTGTATGTATATATACATATTATGTCTCTATAGTTTCCCATGATCATGATCTTGATAGCTCTCTTTACTGTATCAATAAAAAGGGTGTTCAAGAACCCAATAAAATAATCAAGATTTGCACCCAATTTGCTTATTTTTCTGTTATGTAATTATTTATATCCAAATCTTGTATAGTATTCTCAAGTGGTGAATAATTTATAAAAGGGGTGTCTCTTTCTGTAACCTGCTACCTTATATAAGTCTAAAGATGCTTGTTATCCTATATAAACATGTTCTTGGAAGGTGCTAATGAACGGTCTATTAGGGGTTGTTTGCCAGTTGCTGAATGGTTTTGTGCAGAATCATTAAGTGGTCAGAATGATTACGAGGCTTCTCATGATATAGTGCAAAATGAAATATAATTGTTTGGTGGTAATTGTTTACAATGAAATTAAGGCTCTTAATGGTTAAGGAAGGCCGAGGATACAAAATCATTCAGAGGGTTTTAAAACCATTAAGAGGCACACTTTTTTTTTTCAAACATAATTCACCTCTTAACGATTCAGAGGTTGCCTCTTAATGGAACTATTAAGAGGTAAACAAACAACCCCTTATAGATTATAGTTCTTTCGAAGACCTTAATTAGAAGACGGGTTTCGAGTAATTAAGAAATTCTCTAGGGGGTTTTGTTGACTGCATTTGTTTATAGATATTAGGTTTATTTCTACCCGATCGCAATTAAATATAAGATGGTTATGGGGATGATGCTTTAGAGAGGGTAAACAGGTGATCTCAGATGAAGGAAGGAAGTGGTGTCTTGATGATGGCTGTTGTTTCTCCAAGTGCAGCTGCTGCCGCCGCCGCCTACTCGTCTCCGGCCATGGTGGTCCCCACGCCGTCCCCGTTCTCGTTTTCGGTTGCTTCTACAAGATGGAGTTCGTCTAGACCTTCTATTCGTATGTCTGGTCTCTTTTGTAGGGCGATGGTGCTGGTTTTCTCTTTTGCTTCTTCACTGGCACTCGCTGCCACCATGTCTAACAACAATCATCATGAAGATAAGCCGAACGATGGTCATGAAGATGAGCGGAGCTTCCAAGAATACCCGGAATTCGTGTAAGTTCTATTCAGGGAAATTGTCCAAAATAGTCGTTATGAACTCCCTAATTCATTTTATAGCTGTTTTTCTAATAAGTAAGCGAAATAACCAAGATTTTGCAAGTAGCACTTTAGTAAATTGTAAAATCCACTTTCTTGTAATATAATATTTATAACGTAGCTATTTCACAAGTTGTTGAAGTGCTATTTGCAGAATGTTGATATGGAAGTGCCACTTACGCTACTTGCTAAAATGCTACTTACCCACTTGCTAAATGGTTACTTGCCAAAGTCAGCATTTGCAAAGTAGTATTTTAACAACTTAGGGGATGTTCAGTTCGTTTTCTATTAAGACTTGTATGGATAAAGATGTTTGTATTGATATAGTTGTCTGTATGATAACAGATAAGTTATTGTTCGGTTGTCGTGCTGAATAAACCGTCTAAGTGTCAGAAATGACCATTTTACCCCTAGTCTATATTTTTGTAGTGTTTGATAAAAATTTTGTGTAAATGAATTTTAATTATAAAAGTTGTAAAATAAAATTGTTTGTTGATGGCTGCCTCCCTGAACTCTCACTATCTCGCTCACCGATCTCTCTCTCTCGCCTCTCCTCTCTTCGGCTTGCCTCACCAATCTCTCTAGCCGAACTCCCTCTCTCTATCGAAGCTGTGTGAGATGGAGGATTCAACGAGCAATCGGAGCTGGAGAACGATGGTCGGCATGTTTGGGGAGAGAGGTAGTTGGGGAAAAGTAATGGCTGAGTGGATAGGAGTGTGATATATTAGCCGAGCGAATCAGCCCCTATATGACCGATTAAGCTCTTACCGAACTTAAAGGTATGGCTATGCGAATCAGCCACATCTTTTATATGGCTTAATAAGCCTTTACCGAATAGCCCTACTAAAGTACTACTTTATGAATATTAAATTCATAAAAAGTAGATTTCGCAAGTTGCTAAAGTGCTATTTGTTAAATCTTGGCTATTTCAGTTAATTGATTATAAAAGCAGCTATAAAACATATCGAGAGGAGCCTAGAATGGCTATTTTGGACAACTTCCAGTTGTTTGTTAAAGTACTACTTGTTAGATCTTGGCTATTTCGGTTAATTAATTAGAAAAACGGCTATAAAACATATCGAGGGGGTCCAAAATAGCTATTTTGGACAATTTCTAGTTGTTTTTAAGGAAATTATCCAAAATAGCCATTTTGAACTCCCTAATTCTTTTTATAGCTGTTTTTCTACTCAATTAACCGAAATAACCAAGATTTCGCAAATAGCAATTTAGCAACCTGCGAAATCCACCTTTTTTTAGTATAACATTCATAAAGTAGCTATTTCACAAGTTGTGAAACTGCTACTTACGAAATCCTGACGTGGAAGTGACACGCTACCTACTAAACGTTACTTACCCGCTTGCTACTGGGTTACTTGCTAAAGTCAGCATTTCGCAAGTAGCACTTTAGCAACTTACTAAATTAGTTGTTTTAGTTAATTGATCAGAAAAATGGCTATAAAATGAATTGGGAATCCACAATTAATTGTGAGCCAAGCTGTTTTCTTTAATTTAAAGTCTTTCCAATTTGGTCTTGAAATTTTGAAAAAGGAAGAAAAAAAGGACAAACTTGTAGTTATGAACTAGCAGATAGATCCTATTCAAATTTGAAGCTTTTTATAGTTGAGCTGAATGATTCAGATGGATGTAGTAATATGAGAAATTATGTTTGCAGATACAGCTTCGTGGTGACCACTTTGGTTTTCGTCTACTCTGCATATCAACTCTTTAAAGGCGTTACCGACATTGCTTATAGAGGCATTTTCATATCCGATAGGACCTCGGACTACGTTAGCTTCGTTCTTGATCAGGTAAACGAGTCCTAAAATTATATGTAGAAATCTTTCTCGAATCATGATACCTGGCTGCAACAGTATCAGCTTTATAGGACACCAGATATGTCTAGGGGCTTGTTTATTAACAGCTTAACAGAACTCACAGGTTATTTGGTCATGGAGCTATACATGACTGTTTGGTAGTGGCTTAATAATATAAAAAGTGGCTTATTCAGATAAGCTTCCAAGGGGAGTTTTATGTAGGAAGCCCAAAAAATTTAAATCATGCCCCTTCCAATTAAAAAACATGCTCCCCCCATCTATGAATGAACCCTCCTAATCTATTCACTCCACACAGTCAACTTTATCCATACAGGACTTGATGGAAAACCAACCAAACAGCCCCTAAATGTTCTAGTAGAGAGGTTTATAGGACCTAAGGTTACATGACCAAATAACTGTATGTCTGATGTAAAAGTTTTACAATAAGGTAACTGGAACTAACAAGTCTTTTAGGACATTTTTGAAATAAAAAAAAGCGTCATATTAGATGTTTTTATAGAGGACTCTTGTCCTACAAACATTCAAACACGTCTTTTCACATAATACTTGTTTTTACAAGGTCATAGAAAAACCTTAATATGACGTTTTATTTCAAAAATGTTCTAAAAAAATTGTTAAGACAGTCAAAAGCGTCCTATCATCTTATTGTAACAATTTTACACGATACAACAATTGTTTGGTTCTGTAAACTTTTTAGGTCTTGTAAAAACAGTCTATTAGGACATTTAGACATAATTAACGTCCTTTAAAACCGATTTGATTGTAGGATCTCTTTCTTATCTGTATATAAATTTAACCTTATATATATATATATATATATATATGAAACAGTTGGCAGGCTACCTCCTACTTTCATGCTCTTCAGTGACAGCATTAGCAATCCATCATGAAGAGGTGGAAGCAAAGAACACATCAATGATGAAAGCAGCAATGGTTTGTGTTTGCATGTCTTTTGTTGCATTTTTTATAACTGCAGCTTCTGCAATTCTGTCTGGCTACAAACTCAGCAAAAGAATTATGTGGTAGAACACATATCAACATGTTATTTGAATACTCGGTGTTTTTGTACATCTAGATCTAGCTATAGCTAGTAAATATGTCAGTATAAATAAACTTGTAACTTCAACTTTGCGATGTTGGTACAAAACCGTACCAACATGTACCAATCGAATAAAAGTTGGTACCAAGTTTACTTGGTTGGTACATGGTATAAAATTCTGCGTACCAATTATAATTGGTTGGTATGTAATATATTGAAAAAAAAATTGATACCATACCATGTTCACCCTAATTCTAGAATATCGAGTTGGTCAGGGGCAAACCTACTTAAGGGTATGGGATGACACGAACCACTGCTTCATTGCAAGAGGTGGATTTGGTGGGGTTATATATATATATATTTTTTGATCAACCTGGATACCCAACTCGCTATGCAAGCCGACTAATTCCAGGACGACCATGTGTTTTGCAGATAGTCCAGAATCACCGCATTTGAACCTCTGTGGTCACAAGGGGGTTTTTATTTTGAACCTGGATCTTCAAGTACTTTTGTCCTTTGGAGCCAAACTCAAACCAATTGTTAAAATATGATAGATTGAATTGTTTTTTAATGCTCTATTTTGAAAAAAAAAATAAAGTATATCGTTGAAGATGCTCTTAGAATATTTTCTATAAAATTCTTCAATATGGATATTTTAGGTATTTTTGGGTAGCAATGTTGTCTCTTATAAAAACCAGCAATTTTGAACAATAATGAAAAAAGTTGTTCATGTGTTTATTTCCTCGAAAGGTTTCCAAAAATAGGTAAACTACTAAAAATAGTAACTTTCAATTATTGAATTCATCTTTCAGTTATTTCTCTTTCTAAATTTTAAAAATATTATTAGATTCATAAGTAGTATCTCCTCAATTTGTGGAGAGATCAAGATGTAAAAAAAAAGTTTATGAACTAGGTCCGCAAATGCATGGACCAAATTTGTAAATTAGATAAAATGTGCCACTTAGGAAAGTGTTGAGACTAATTTACAGATTTGGTTCCCTGGTTCAGAGACTTTTTTTATAGTTTGACCCCTCTGTAAGTTTAAGAGTTGTTATTTGCAGATATAATGACATTTTGAAATATTGAGAGAGAAAAGACTGAGAGATGAATATAAAGTCTGAAAATAGTTATTTTAATTAATTTTCCTCAAAAACATGTTTTTAAGTTGTGGTTCTTTTTTTTTTTTTTTTTTGCATTATCATAAAATGTAACTAAGACCTATTTGGCTGTTTGTTAGCAGCTAAATAAATTTAATAAAACTCACAACTTATTCGATCAATTACACATGGATATTTGGAAGTGACTTGATAATTAAAATATAACTTATTTAATAAGCTTTTAGGGGCAAGTTTTATGCTAGAAAACAATTTTTTTTCCAACTTATCCTTTTTATCCGTTTACAACTCATTTGGAAATATTACTCGAATGGTATTTCTTTCCTGTATTTTGAATACTTCTTACAGTACCCGATAAATTATTGGGTGTTCTTTTATTGGTTTCAATACCTGCGGGATTATCAAAATCCATTTCCACGTCCAGTAGCGACAACCGTATTTTTGAATGGTACAACAGTGGCCCTTTGGTTGGGTATTGGTGCAACATTACCTATTGATAGATGCTTAATTTTTAGGTCTTTTTCAAGTTGATTCAATTGTGAAATAAAATATCACGACGTATGTATCTAGGAACAGTCAATTCAAAGTGAAGTCTTCCTAGATACATCTATTCAATTAAATTATGAAACCATACCGATTCCGAATATATGAACTGTGCTTAAGATTCAAGACCTATTTTCGGCTTTAAAAAAAGATGAAAAACCGCTGGAACACCTATGGATTTTATCATCAACTTGATGAATTAATTTCAAGATATAATTCTTTCTTATTATAACAGGTTGTTCAAATATTCTACTTTTCCCTGAATACTCGATACCCATGGATTCGTTGTTTGCTTACTGACTTCATATAATTCAGAAAACACCAGTTTTCTCGAAGCTTCTTGTTCATATCGTTCGTCAAAAGACGCTATTCGATAATCTCTATCTGACAACCCTCCGCTTACCGAAGTGAAGATTCAAATCATCTATAAAAAAACCCTCTCAAATAAAAATCTTTTTAATTATACAGACATCATAATTCACACAAATAATTTCTTCCATAAAAAAACTCATTGGAAAACGAGACGTAATTTACAATATAAATAAACAACCATAGTTTAATTCAGTCACTTTGTATGACTGTTCGTGATTCATATAAATATTTACAATTAAAAAAATAAATTAATTAAAAAGTCAAGAAAAGTCGTATTCTTAGATACGTTTTGCTCTCAAAATCAACAACCTCCACTTCAAGAATTCCGAAGTTAATTGTTTCTAGAAATTTAACTCTAATTTCGTTCCTTTGATTTATTAGGGTTTTTTTTTCCAACCCATCAACCACCTCATTTATTACCAACAAAATATCCAGATTTTAAAATAAATAAAATGTAAAAAAAAACAAAGAAAATTTATCAATAAAAATAAAAAAGTTGTTACTTTACTAGGAGGGGCAGAGGCCTATAGGGCCCTTCGGGGTCAAAGACCTTACAAATTTTTATCTTTTAGATAGGTAAAACTTAGTCCATTATGTTAAAGATTTATTTTTTCCACTTCTCCTTAAGTACAGCCACCCCGGTTAAAAGACATGTGCCGCTACTGCTACTAGATAATTAACGTAATAAAAGGACTCATTTGTTTATTCACAATGTTGCCAATTAAAAAAAGTTAAAAATAAATAAAAAACTTTTTTCATTTTGAATGATTAGTATTTGAATTTTTTTAAAATAATAAAATTATTGAACTTTCTTATAGATTGTTTTATCTGTTTAAATAAAAAGTTTATTAATTAATTTATTTTAAAAAAAAAGTCAAAAACTTCATTTAAAAAAAAAGTCAAAAACTTCATTTCAAAAGATAAATTTTGTTGGTTTTAGAGCATTTTTATCAGAATATTTAAAATAGATAAAATGAAGGTTTTATTCTCTATATTGTTTCAAAAGATTCTCTATAATGTTGTCTAAAATAAAAAAAAACCATGAAAAAACTCTAAATTTAGATAATTCTCTAAAACTTGATGATAGGAGAGATAAATGATTATTTTATTTAATCATGTTAATGAGATAGAATTATTATTATTTTATATAATGTCGACTAAATTTAAATGATAAAAAAAATTATTTACTACTTATTTTAATATAATAAATTGTATTAGATAATTTGTTTTAACTATATTATATAATATAAGAATTAAGTAATTTGTTGGCATACTTTTTAGATTATTTTGTATTTTTCAACAAATCAATATTATATTATAAAATATTTGACAAAAAAACTGTTAAAAACCATTTTTTATGCATTAAGTATTGTTTATTAATGCATGCTACTTAAAACTCAAGATTACAAGTATATTGTGCGTAAATACAACTTATTAAAGGTCTGTATCTGAATTCGTATAAATAATTACAGATAAAAATTATCAAATACAGGATAAAGATCTTATTTTAAATATAAAAAATCTAAAATATAATTAGGATAATCATTGAGTTCTAACAGAATACTTAACTATTATGTTTATGAAATGTTATATTATTAAACCAAAAATAATTATAATAAAATAAATAAATTAAAGAAATTACATAAAAAATAGAACTTTTAAATAGTTGATTTGATATTAACATCGATATTTTTTTTAAAATTTTTATGATATCTTCAAATTTTTATATTTTATTCAAAAATAAAATTATTATTACTTTCTTAAAAACACATAAAATCGTATTATAACATCGACAAAAACAAAAAATAAAATAGAACATTAAAATTAAGATGTATTTCACTACATTGCGAGAGTACCCTTCTAGTTTTCTAAAATAGAGAAAATGAAAGTTTTATTTTTACTTTACTCCAACAAATTCTATAAAATAGAGAAATAAAAATTTCGAATATATTTGACAAAAAAAAAAACAAAATGGAGAAAGTATGAGAGATAGAACAAAATTCTTCAGAATTTGAGAACTCTTAAAAACTAATTATCATGAGAGATAAACAAATTTTTATTGTATTTTTCATTGATAAAAAACTTTAAAATTAAATATTAATGATAGAGAAACAATATTTTGTTAAATGTATTGATTATTTAAATATATATTTAATATTACAATCTTCAAAATAAATAATCTGTGAAATTGAATACATATTTTTTTTTTAAATATTTTCAACTTTAATTTTCAATTTTAAAGAATCTAAATTAGAAAAAGAAACAATATAAAAAAATCAACTTCAAATATTTTTTCTCTAAACTTGATAGGAAGAGAAGAGAGATATATATTTCTCTTTTTTACCCCTGCAAATTAGATTGATTTATTATAATTTTATATAATTTATTTTAAATTTGAAACTAATTGAAGTTTTTTATTTTAAAACTTTCTTAACCAAGTTTTTTGGGTTAAAAAGATGTATGTAATCAATTTCTAAAAATTTGATAATTTATCTGTTAAAAAATCCATGGAATAAATATTTTAAACTAAAAAGTTAAATAGTTTTTTATTTAAAAAAAGAAAGTTTCTAACTTTTACCATAAATTTGTATAACAAAAATATATTATTTAAGATACGGGTCTTAAATGATTTATGGAGATTAAATATTATAAGCATATGTAATTATATTCAGCTTTTTTCTTTTTTAGATTTTTGTAAATGCGCTTTTTCCTTGGTGGACCACAGCTACCGTTTCATACCTTGTCTAGATGTGTTTTGCTTTAAATATCCTTCTCGAAACCACGACAGGCGGCAACCGATTCCATAGTTTACTACCACCACCAAGAACCTTCTAGAAATCACGCCAATCTTCCTACCTTCTCCGTTGTGTCTCCGGCGTATTCGCCGGTGATTTTTTTGCTCTCAGGTAAGCTGATTAGGCGACTCTTTCGTCCTCGGCGTTCTTTTCTGAAAGCAAAAAAAGAGAGAGAAAATCGGTTACAGAATTTTCAATTGATGTCAGAGAGGTTCAATTCTTGTGCCAGAAATACATCTGGATTTGTTTGAAATTTTCTTCTTATATGTGCAGTCATCTGTAATCGGCAGCAATGGCGACGTCACCGGTTGGAAAAACCGGTGAATTGACCGTAGGAGAGTCGCAGAGGACTATTCCGACGCCTTTTTTGACTAAAACATACCAACTTGTTGACGATCCGTCATCGGACGAAATGATTTCATGGAACGAACACGGAAACGCGTTCGTCGTTTGGCGACCGGCTGAATTTGCTAGAGACTTGCTTCCGAAATACTTCAAACACAACAATTTCTCGAGCTTTATTCGACAGCTGAACACTTATGTAAGAACTTGCTCGAACAAAAAATCGAATCAGATTCATCGTTTTATGAATTCGGTTTGCTGTTAGTTTTATTAATTTTCGCGTTTAAATGTAGGGATTTAGGAAGACCGTATCTGATCGTTGGGAATTCGCGAATGATTACTTCCGTAGAGGCGAAAAAACTCTCCTCCGTGAGATACACCGTCGAAAAATCTCTACCACCACTTCGGCAACACAGGCAGTAATTACAGCAATCCCCTTGGTAGGTCTTCCAATCCCAACATCTCCTGCAAATTCAAGTGAAGAACTCGCCGGATCATCAAATTCGTCACCAATCATAACGATGATCCACGGCCAACCTTGTACGACCAAGACGGATCTCGTAGAAGAAAACGAACGGTTGAAGGAACAGAATTCCAACTTGAGATGCGAACTGAGTCATCTTCGAAGCTTGTGTAGCAATGTTGTTAATCTGATGTCTAATTTCGTTTCAAATCAACCGGAGATGGAAATTGATGGATCAGAAGAGAAGGCGGTTGAAGGTAGCGCCACTGGTCCGGAGGTTGAAGAAGAGATGTGTCCGCGGTTGTTTGGTGTATCACTGGGCGTAAAACGTGTGAGGAGATCCGCCATTGAAGAGCAGGAAGATGATGAGAAGATGGTTGAAGAACAAAAATTCATGTAAATTAACAGTTGTACGTTGTTGTACAAACATCAAAGCACAGACCAAAAAATCATAGACTAGATGTAATATAAGCGTGCGTGCATGACCAGACAAGCAAAATGCTTATATATTATTATATCCTCTCTGTTTTAACGTTGGAATTCGATCAAATCATGCATTCAAAAGGTAAAAAATGAGTTTCAGTGTTGATATATGTGAGGAAGTAATAACTGAGATAGAGATGCATTTAACAATGTATAAGACAAACGGTAAACAAACTTAATAACTTATTTATATTCTATCTATTTATGTAATTGTGTTTCAAATCTTGGCGTTTGATTGACATGCTTGTACTAGGTTGTTTTGAGGTGGGTTATGTATACTGAATGATAGGAAAATTTTTCTTGTTATATGTTTGGTGTGACATTTTAACTCGTTTGAATATGATTGAGACATTATTAGAAAATTAAGTATTTCTGGTGGAAAATTTCACTGGAAATTTACCCGCGTACAACAAAAAAATCAACTTTCTTTGATTTCGGCCGGTAAATATTTCCCCACAATATTTTCGACAGATTTTACAAATTAAATTTTCTCGAAATAATTAACTCTGATTATATAATTTACCGGCGGATTTTCGGCGGATTTTTGATCAGTTTTTTAAAATTAACGTCCGTCGATAATCCGCCCGAAAATAATTAAAAATTAAAATTTATTATTTCAAAAATCCGGCGGATGCCTGTGGCGCCGGTAAAATAAAACAATAAATTATTCATGATTTTTAAAATAAAAAATTATTGATTTCTGGCAAACAATTTTTCAACGGATTTTTATTTTTATTTTTTCTTTATTCATACTTTTGGTTTATAATTTTTTTATCGAGTCCAACATACACACATACATGTATGCAATACTTACTTATATGCAAACACATTATCCGATGTCATTGTTATTATTGGACTTTAGAAAAAATTTGATTTGGGTTTAACAGGTCTTAGTTGAGTCCAATACACATCAAATGCTCATATGTAATACAGTTAAAAACCTAAAACATTGTATAGTGCTTTTACCTATTTACATCACCTTCGTCAATCTAATATTTAAATCAAGCTTTGCATACCAAACGGAGATAACGAGTAAAATATTTAAATCAAGATTTGTACGATGATAATTTGGTAAGATGAAGTCAAAGGAAAGAGAGTTTTTTGTACATGACTAACAAGCACAAGTATTACGTATGTTTGTCTCTGATTTTGACAAATTTGTATTCTTTAAGTTATAGGAATATATTTAAATAACTTTTTATAAAATTTAAGCTCTTATCGACTAATTTCAGTTCATATTGATTAAATACGCCAAGAATGCAGGTTTATGGCTGATTTGGAACATTCAACGACCTTAAACGCATGCATAAGTTGTACACGAGAAAAAGTCAAGAACGTCTTTTTGTACAAAAATATACATTCCAAGTGGTCAAATCCTTTTTCCAAGCAAGGGAGGTGGTGCGACGTGCATGACAAGTTGAGCTCCAAAATGGATCCTATTATACGATATTTAAAATATATAAAATTTATATACGGTAAATAGAACAAATAAACTCACACGCCCTTCTTACATTTGATGAGATTTGAATAATTAGAAGGTTAAAGACTCACAAACCGCTAGGCAAAAGGCCATTTGGTTACTTTGTATTGGTTTATATATTTCCAAATGTATCCATTTATGAATGTTTGGGCTTTATTATTAGAAAACTATCAAATGTATCCATTTATGAATGTTTAGGCTTTATTATTAGAAAACTATCAAATGTATCCGTTTACGAATGTTCGGGGTTTATAATTAGAATACTATACGTATATTTAGCTCTTACGCTAAATGAAACCGGGATCAATCTAGTCTTATACAAATATGCACTCCGCACCTCCTAACTTGCATAAAAAAAACTAAGTAAAAATCCCTTTAGCTCTCGTATATTTACCTCCTACACCAAATGAAACCAATGACACTAAAATCACCAACACAAAGCATTCCTTGTACAAATTATTTTCCCACAAAAGAACTAAAACCTTAACAGAACAAGATTAGAGCATCTCTAAAACATAATGTAGCATCTCAGGTCAACCGTACCAAATATTATCTACTTTTGTTCCCCCCTCCCCCTCCCCCAACTGATGTAAGATTTTACAATCCATCCTTTTGGGAGCCCAGCATCCTCGCTCGCATACCAATTTGGTTCCTGTCTCTGATATCATCTATAACATCTCAGAATAACAGTACCAAATATTATTCGCTTCATCCACACCTGGATTTAAGTTTTTAAAACACGTATAATAGAGGAGATACCTAATATCTTATAAATCAACATTTGTTCCCCCAATCAATTTGGGATCTTACACATACCTATTGTTTTCCTAAAATAGGTTATTAAAACAAAATTTCTAAAAAAATTACATCCAACACCAACCGTTACTCTATTTTAGATATTCTGGTATTAATTATATTATTAAATATTCAATATATTTAATAAAATATTATTTCTCTCGTAAACATTCAATATCAATATCCTTTATTAATAGAAAAAAAATTAAATATTATCTCTTTATTAAATATTAATTTTTAGAGATTTTCATTTAAATTTAAGATTTCCACTCTCTCGTTTTCTGTCTTTTGGCATATTTTATATCATAGTTGTTGAAACAAACTCTCAGTTTAAACATAACCGTTGATCATGCTTTTATCGTTTTCGATACATTTTTTTATTAAAAAGGATAAATAAATTTAAATAAAAAAAAGCATCTAATTTTTAATTTTTTTGCAAAAATATAATATTATATGATAAATTGTGGAGAAAAATAATTGAGCCCAAATGGTTTAAAAATGGCCCATTTTCTACTTGGGTTATGGCCCAATAAACAAGCTTAAACAACCCATTGTCGGTTTCCGAAAAATCCCCTTTGTAGCAGATTCAAATTCTACTCCAAGCAGAGAAGGTGAAGAACTAGGGTTTTGAATTCTCCTCGTAACGATGAAGAAGAAGAAACTCAATAATTCATCGTCGCCGTCGTCGAACGGTGATTTGGAATCGTCGGATTTTCATACGGCGGTCGCTAGAATCGCCGTCGCGCAGACCTGTCAGTCCGTCGGGTATAGAGGTGCTGAAACCTCCGCACTCAAAACCCTAACCGACGTTGCCGTTAGATACCTTCAATCATTGGCGAAGTCCGCCGCTACCTCCGCTACCTCCACCGGCCGTACGCAGTGTAACCTTCTCGACATCGTTCGTGCATTGGAAGACCTTCATACTGATTTAGGATTCCATGGAAACTCAGAGCCTAAAAGTCGACTGAATTTACTCAGCGATTCATCGCTCCTCCGCGACACGATGAAGTTTGTCTATTGGACTCACGAAATCCCGTTCTCAAAACCCTTGCCTCGCCGGTGCCCTGCACTTGCGTCAAATCCACCGTGCTTTTCCAACGAGAGTGCTAAATGGAATCACATTCCGAGATGGTTGCCGGCTTTTCCTAAGATCAACGACGGGGAAGAAGAAAAACCGGTTGTTGCTGCATCAAGTGAAGTCGAAACCGCATGGGAGAAGAAGTCGCGTTTGATCAGAACAAGCAGCTGCGAAATCAGCACGTTGCCGGAGAAAAGAAAAAAGGTAAGCTTTAAGATCGGCGGTGGCGGTGGTGGTGGTAGGAATGAAATTGAAACGGGAATCGGGTCAGATTTGAGGAATGGAGTTTGTAAAGCAGGGAAGAGAATTTCATTCCAAATGTATGATGATGAAAAATCCCTAAACGCAAGTAGCAGAAGTAATCATGATTCTAGACCATCTATGAAGAAGAAATTAGAAGAATCTTGTTCAAGAACAAAGGTGATTCTGATGCATTGATGTTCAAACACAATGGCCGAATTGAAGATGGGTTTTGAAGACAAATTGATCTTCAAATCAGATTGCCGAAGAGATAAATATATATATATATATATATATATTTATAATTTATTAATTTTTGGGGATTAATTTGAAAGCTGTTGCTGATTCAAGTATATTATAAAAGGTTTATAAACTCATAATAGTGATATGGATCGACGGTTGTTAAGAGGCGTTTTGAAAGTTACGGTGTTGAAGGTCTCGGTTTCAAATCCACTTAGGCGCAGGGTAATTTTCATAATGTATTATGTTTATGAGGTGTTAGATATACTTTGACGTGAAAAAATCATATGAAACAAAATTTTAAATGTAGAATTTTTTACGGATCTCATAAAATTTGGAGTTCTCAAATAATTAACCCCATGTATTTATATATATATATATATATATATAAGGATTGTATAAATAATACTAAACTTTTATAATATTTTTGTATCTTTACAATGTTTTATTTTGAAACTTGAGTGTTATTTTGTTTTTACATGGTTAAATGGATGCAATGGACCTGGGTTTAAGAGATTTTTAATTGGATTGTAAGGTGGTTTATATAATCATCAATATTTTATGGCTGAAAAGCTCAAAATACATCAATTTTTGTGTGAAAAATGATGTTGGTGTTTCTACAAATTAATTGGTATGTAGGTGGAAAAGATTTAATTGTTGTGTTTACAAGATGTAATATTCCTTTTTTTTTTTTTTAATTTTACAAGGAAAAAGTACAAAGTTGATATTGAACTTGACAAAATGACATGTGCTTGATGAACTTGATATAGCTCAGCTTGGATTGTACTATGAAATGTTTAGTTATTACTGTAATCATGAATTAAACATAAATGCGTGTGTACCAAAAGTTATACTGAACTCACCTCGAATTAATGTAGGTTTAGTTGTCATTCACTCGCTTGTAACCTACGTAAACATTGTTGCCATACATCTAAGGGGTTGTTTGGTTGGTTGTATAAATGAAGTTGTTTGTATAGAGTCGGATTATTTTGTTTAGGAGGGTTTTTCATTGATGAAAGAAGCATGTTTTTAATTGGATGATGCATGTTAGGGGAAAACTTGGGTTTTTGTATAAAGCTTTCTTTAGAAGCTTACTAAATAAGTCATTTTTTATATTATTAAGTCACTACCAAAATAATCATGTACAGTTGACTAACTAAATTGTTAGTTATATTAAGTTTATTAAACTACTAACAAACAACTCCCGAGTATTAATATCATTCATAACATACTAGTACTAGATCGAAGTAAAATTTACATTTTTGATCACGTTTTGTGTCGTTTAACCCTTGGTCAATGCTATCATGCAATGGTTGTCTATTACACAAACTTGGCCATTCTGGGACAAATCTTATGACTGTTTGGTTGGTTTTTTATTAAGTCATGTATGAATAAAGTTGTTCGTGTCAATTAATTTGTCTGTATAGATTAAAAAGATTTTTGTTTGGGAGGAAGGGATTTTCAAAAAATGAACGAAGCGTATTTTTTTAAATTTGGATAGGTTTGGAAAAACCTTAAAGCCCCTCCTCTCTCCTATAAGTTTACTGGATAAGTCATTTTCTATATCATTAATAATTCACTACCAAACAGTCATGTATAGTTGATCGAATATGTTGTGAGTCTCTTTAAGCTTATTAAGCTACTAACAAACAAACCTTTACTCGTTTTCTTCCATTCCCTTTACGTAATTTCGGTACTTATATGCATATACATCATTTCACATGGCAATCCTTCAATTTATCCAACAATTCGTATAACCATTCGGATACAAAACCTCTCCTAATGCTTCAATAAGCTTTGGTTATTAAAAAACCATCCCTTGGACTTCACTTTCAAAAATCAACATATTCAGTCCCTGTTCTTTACTTTTTCTCTTTTCTGGCCCAAAACTTGCAATGCTAAATTTCTAGGGTTATCTCCGCCATCCATCAAAATCAAACTTCTGTCACGTAGTTAAGAATTTCCTTTTGATTTTCTTTAAAATATTGAAAATAATTTGTAAAAGGACCAAAATAAAATAATCACTTATTTAATTCTAATTTTTAATGTTTGTCGATAATGATGGAAAAATGAATCATTTTTAATGCTCCGCTGTTGGCATGACTTACAATAAATAATATTTAATAAATAATATTTAAATGGATAATTAAGTGAAGCTTTTCTTAGGAAAATTGTGACGTCAATATTTTTTTAAAGATATAAAAATGTAAAATCAATTTGGTTAATTATTTGAAAACTCTAAAATTTGTAAGATATGTGACAACTTTTATCCTAAGGTTTTGTTTTCGAATGACATTTTTCAATTAAATATAGTATTTGATTTATTGATTAATATATATTTGTTTTAAAAACGTGTTTGTTTAATATGTATTCATTTCATAATATAAAACTTTTTTAAGTAAGTTTTTTGTTTCATAAGCACGTCAAAAAAGTTTACATCATGAACCGAATATGTGAAATAAATATATGTTAATCATCACAATAATATTTTAAACATAGATGAAAACACATAATGTATTAATTCTTAGAGATCTCATGATTTAAAGAGTACCATCTTGTCTATACATATACATATACATATACATATACATATACATATACATATACATATACATATACATATACATATACATATACATATGTGTGTGT